GACAATTCCACTAAATAGGATATGAACACAGGACATGGCAATGGAATAGTTGACTTTGAATGCGCTTGAATGTAAAGATTGCTGTACAAAAAACGGTGTTAAATGGAGCCAGAAAAGGCTGCTCAGATTAGAAGTGGAAAGGCAGAATGAACACTCACAGCCTTCACATACACCAACACGAGCCACATTCTTTGACCTCCTCTGAATTGGGTCCCGGGCGAGGATTATGGGCAGTGCTTCAGAAAGAGATGAGCTCCTCGCTCTCTCAACAGCCAATTTTTAACCTCTACGGCAAGCCAACTACTCTAAATCCTTCAACACTGCGAAGCGAAAAGGAGGGGAAGAAAGAAGGCTTTAATTCACCTTTTCATGTTGGAGCACCAAGGTCGTTCTGCTATTATCAGGAAATCAAAGTGAATAAGTGAGAAGAACAGAGGGGCAAATCATTTCACTAGAGGCGCCACGGGATTAAGAGCAACGTCTGAAGAAGCTGACCTAGAGCAATCATGGTCTTTTTAAAAGGGTCCCAGATTGGATGGAATGAAAGGATGGATGTTATTGTAATGTGCTGCCAAGTTGTTGGCTTGAGGATGGCAGGGAAGAGCTGTCAAAGTCATTATGGAGAGACAGATACTCCAAGCATTAAGGTTGTGATTACAGCTCCATGCTCGGGGTACAGCCGCTGATCCCCCCTCAGCCTCAGGGGACAAAGCTGTGCCATCAGTAACCCACGGAGCCACCGCTGTTGATGAGCAAGGGCGGTTGGAGGAGATATCACAGTTGGAGGAGGCTGGGATTTGACAAGCTGTCTTGGCCAACCCTAGTGGGCCATCAGCTGTGTGTGTGTCAGTGTGTGTGTGTGTGTGTGTGTGTGTGTGTGTGTGTGTGTGTGTGTGTGAATGGCAGCAGCCTGCTGTGTTCCCCGGTGCGCTGTGGCCTTGAAGCTATAGCACAGTCCTGGGGCTGACATATTCTAATCCTGTTTCCTCTGGCTTTGTCACACCTCTCTCCTCCAGCCTTCCTCAGCTCATTTCCATCCCAACCGTTTGCTTTTTAATCAATGCAATGTGGTCGAAACAAGGAGATGTTGCAGTGTGAAGATTTGACTAAGAAAATGCTGGCTCAAGTGAGCTCTTTGGCAAATTGGCACAAAAGTGACCTTGAGTAATAGCAGGACTGTGGCTCAGTTGTTTCCCCTTCCTCCTGAGGTCCGCAGGGTCTCAGGTTTGAATCCAGCATGTCCAGCTGTGCTTAGTCTCCTGCGCTCCTACTTTGTTTGTATTGACTTTGTACACATTTTTGGTGGATCACTTTCATTCTACTGTTATACATTACATCACATACAGCTGATGCTTTTATCCAAAGCTGCTTACAATAAGTTGTACAGCCATGAAGCTACAAAAAAAAAAAAAACAAGAATCCTGCAAAAACATTAGCTTTCAGAAGGCTGAACCATTGTAAGTGCTACTGCATTGGCTTCAAGTAAGCCAGTGGAAACAGGTGGGCTTTTAGTCTGTGATGGAAGATATAAATGGGGAGCTTGTTCAACCATTTTGGTGCCAGTCGATTGTGGAGAATGACGGAACATCAGTTCACAGTGAGCTGTAAAATGTTCTAGCATTACAAACCACTGTGCAGTGTTGTGGTGTGTCAAACTGGACTGCCCGTATCTTCTGAGCATGAATGCAGTGTGTGTAGTGCTGCGTACCTGGACTCACATTCAGGTTCAGGTCCGGACTCAAGTCCAGAGGTTCAGGTTTGTGTCAAGTTGTGTGAGTAACTAAAGTGAACTTATTGTGAGCTAATTATCAATTGAAAATTAACTCATAATCAACTCAAATTCAAACTCATCAGGTGTATTGTGCTCCCTTCCAACTTGTGTCTACATTTCTCTACAAAGTACAAATGTAAAAAAAACACTTTTTGCCACTTAGTCTACAAATGACTTATGACAGCATCTACAGTGAACTGCTACAAAGTTCAAACATTTATTTCATTTACCAAACTAAAGTAACCAAACAGTCCCTGAGCTGACTGAGCCTAAATCCCTAAAACGTTGCTGAAAGGTAGAGTGTATAGTAGACTATACACATTACACTGTTACACACCTACTATACAGTATAGGCTACACTGTAGTGACTGTACAGTCAGAGTGTACTGTACTGTCTGTACACCATGTATTTTCTACAACTCTACATGTGTACATTATACAGTACATACTACATACATAGTGATGTACATACATACTGTTAGAAATTAAAATCAATGTTGATATGGCGTAATTTTGAATTAAATACACTATTTAATTTAAATCAGTTTTATTCTGAAAAAACCGGAAGTTCACACTATTAACTTAATACTTTTATTCTGAAAATTCTTCACTTCCGGTTAGCATTAGCATGTGGCGAAATGCTACGTTTTCAAACCGTGAATCGAAGGTGAAATGACATGTGATGTTGTACACTGAGCACACTGGGATTAGCACTCATTTATTGACGCTGAATAACGTTTATCAGGGAATGTTTAAATAACCACAGACACCAGAATATACGTAAGTGCTAGTTTTTTTGCGAGTCCAAGTACCGGTTCCCGACGTTCCGGTTTTAACCGGACTTGAACCGAAACTTTTTACAAGTCCAGTACCGGTTCGGCGTACCGGTTTATGTTTATGTTTATTAAGGATCCCCATTAGCTTTTGCTCTCGACAAAAGCTACTCTTCCTGGGGTCCGACACTTAAAACAATACAACAATAATACAACAATAATACAGCAACATTTAGGACATAAGTCCTGACATCATTAATAACATTAAAAACATTAAAAACATCACCAATATCATCAACAACATGCGATCAAATTAAATTAGGGTTCACATCTCACAAGGGTACATGGTCATTAGTAGATGGCCCTTCAATCTCTTCTTGAAAGAGGCTCTGGACTCTATTTCAGCAAGGTAGTTTGGCAATGAGTTCCATTCCTTTATAGCTCTATAAGACACAGAAGATTTCAGAAGATGTGTCCTGGGTTTAGGTGCCAGTCGATGGCCTGATGTAGCTTGTCTAGTCTTATGGTCATGCTCGTCTCTTGTGTAAACTATTTGATCATAAAAATACAGTGGTCTGTTGCTAAATTGGACATTTAAAAAAAAAGTGATAACACGAGATTGCAGACGTTTCTCAACTGGAAGCCATGATAGGCTTCTATGCATAACTCCAATATGAGTGCGCTTCGAACAGTGTAGAGCTAGTCTGGCAGCCTTGTTTTGAGCTATTTGTAATTTCTGTAAATGTGTTTTTGCTGCTGATGACCATATGACCGGACAGTACTCAAGATGTGACAAAACCAGAGACTGAATGACTTGTTTCGAAGTGGTTGGTGTTACATACTTTGTACATTTTCTCGCCACAGCTATGCTCCTTCCCATTTTAGTTACGATACTGTCAATTTGCTTTGTCCACCGTAAACCAGAATCAAGAACAATGCCAAGCAACTTAGTCTCGTTTACCTGTTCCACTGGCTGACCAGCCAGTGTCAGGCTTAATTGAGGATTGCTGCTTAACATATGTCTGGATCCGAACACCATTGCTTTTGTTTTTGCAATGTTGAGTACCAGTTTGTTATTGTTGACCCAGTCTGCTATGGCTTTAATCTCTATTTTAAGTAGATAGTTTAACTCACTGCATGTTGATGCTGTACTGTACATCGTGGAATCATCAGCATACATTATTACACTGGACTTATTTAATACGTAAGGAAGGTCATTTGTGAATATAGAGTACAACAAAGGCCCAAGCGAACTCCCCTGTGGGACCCCACACTTCAACACCTTACTTTCAGAAAAGCTCCCATTGAAAAACACTCGCTGCCTTCTCCTAGTCAGGTAGCTCTCCATCCAACACATAGCAACAGAACCAAAGCCATAGCATTTGAGTTTGTTCAGCAGCAGACTATGATCGATTACATCGAAAGCTGCGCTAAAGTCTAACATCACAGCTCCCACAAGCCTCCTATCATCCATGCTCTTTAACCAGTCGTCGGTCATTTGTGCAAGTGCTGTACTTGTAGAGTGACCATCTCTATAGGCATGTTGGTAGTTCGTTGTCAGATTGTTACTTGAAAAGTAGTATTGAATTTGGGTGTATACTATTTTTTCTATTAATTTACTTAACACTGGGAGGAGACTTATAGGTCGACTATTGGAACCAGCAAAGGTTTTTCTTTTATCCTTGGGTAATGGGATGAACCTTGGCTTCCTTCCAGATCTCGGGGCACACGCCTTGCTCTAAACTTTTATTAAAAATGTGACTCAAATGTATTTGGCCGTCATTTTGAGCAGTTTACCATCCAAGCTGTCAATCCCAGGAGATTTATCATCGGACAGATGTAAAAGCATATTTTCAACATATTCTTCTGTAACATTGTGGAATTCAAACATGCACTGCTTTTCCCTCATGATACAATCTTTAATGATGTGATGTGACACTGTGTCCTTGACTGCACCCATGGCATTCCTCAGCTTATCTACTTTATTTGTAAAATAATCATTAAAATGATTTGCAATATCTGCTGGCTTGGTAATGAATTTACCCTCGGTTTCTATAAAAGAAGGATGCATGTTTGAGTTCCTCCCCATTATGTTATTCAATATTTTCCATAATTTCTTTCCATCATTCGTAGAATCACTGATTTCTTGCATGTAGTATTCCGTCTTTCTACATTTATTCAATTTGGTTACCGCATTTCTTAGTTTACAGTAATGTTGTTTGTCACATAGAGAACCTGTTCTGTCTGCAGTTTGTTTAGCATCATCTCGTTGGACCATTACACTTATCATCTCGTCATTCGAGTACGGTACGCAGCACTAAGTGTGTGTGTGTGCGTGTGTGTGTGTGTGTGTGTGTGTGTGTGTGTGTGTGTGTGTGTGTGTGTGTGTGTGTGTGTGTGTGTGTGTGTGTGTGTGTGTGTGTCAAGATTAATCACCAGTTTAAAAGAGAACTTACCTGGGAACTGGTAGCTGTAGCTTGGGGCAAATCCAGTGTAACCTCTGCCGTATGTTGCTACAATGTTAGGATAACCTGGGGAGAAGGCAATAAAGGACTTCATGATAAAAAGTACACATACAAACTTCTATAATTGCATAGTCCTTTCCATCACTTGTATCTTAGTCTATCCCACTAAAGATCAAAGGAGAGCTGCACTAAAGACAACATTTATAAAAATTAGACATGTTTCCTTCCTTTTCTGAGAATGGATTTTACACATATTTAAGCCATTATTAATACAGTACTATCTGTAAAATATAAAATGTGGGTAATTAATCCTTGTTCTCACAGCCTGGTCTCCACTGCAACTTAAACTGTTTGCCTGAGGAGGGTACCCCCGACACAAAACACGGATACATTTAAATGTGAAATCATTATTAGCAAGTGACATACGTTTCCACAGTTGATGAAATAAATTCATTTGTGTTAGATAAATATTATGCACATTCCAAAATATAAGCATTCAACTTACTCAGCATGCCCATGCCCAGCATGAAGGCATCCACAGTGTACGGAAGGCCCCTCGCCCGACCTCGTGTCCCCGGGGGACACATCACTTCTTTAGGCTGGGCCTTTTTGCATTCTACCTGTGAAACAGATAACGAGAAAACAAGTCAAACAATACTTGACACTTTACTTACACCGTTCAGGTCTCAACCATTTCTGATAATGTTTTGCTTTTTATACCAAATGGGCTTGATGCTAAACTGTTTTGGAATGACCGGCTTCATTAGAAGTTTTTTAGACCCTCCAGTTGGCAAATATTGCAGCCAGATAGACAGCAAATGTTGCCCTTAATTGTATTCACATTAAATTAGACTCAGACCATTTTTCTTTAAATCTTTTCATTTACATTTAATGTCCAAGTTCAGGATTTGTTTAGAGCCAACATGATCTTACTGACTCTTTAGGTCTTTCAGTTCAGAAGTTAAGGGTGATGTAAAGATTCAACAAATTCAACATCATTTGTGCCTTACATAAGGCAAACTTACATTTTGACCTTCAGAATGGCTGTACATTGATGTTACATTTATTTAAACTCATTTGTCAGACACTGTCCAAAGTAAATGAAGTGTGTTCAACCTCTGTAGGAAGAAGAGGTTGAGTACAAGTGCATCATTAAGTACAATGGGCATTTATTTCTCGTCTCGTCTCATCTCCCTCTCATTAGCTCACTTCTTAATTTAAAGGAGGACCACACACACTCACACACAGACACCTTCTGCACTGTTCCCTCCTACATCACTGTTACTGCCTTTATCTGGGGGATATCGGAAATGCTAATTTGTCCTGGATTGCGCCAAGGCCATTCGCTTAAGGTCAGAGAGCCTTTGTTTCAATGGCTTTGCCGATATCATCATTATGCCTCAATCGATATGCCTGAGACAGAAAAACACAACGTGCCGAAGGCCCCTTTACCCTTCAAAGTTCTTGTTTAACTGTGCTAGCAGTGAATGGAAGGGACGTTGCAGTTATTAACCACCAAGTGGATACAGGATGTGCTACGGGAAGTGGACGCTGGCGGGGGTCACAGCAGCCTGGTGTGACCACACACTGAAGCTGAGGGGGCTCAGGGAAATTGGCATCTAGCAATCAAAGGGTCAGCGATTTGACCCCATTTCCCATAGGGATGTCTAAGCCTCTAAGGTATAGCAACGTCTGTATGTCGCTATGTTTAAAAAGCTAAATGACATGTAATGTAAAGGTGCCTCAATGCTGATGATGATGGTTCATCATTAAAATGGACCATTTCAAAAGGCAGTATGTCTCCTTATTTTAACAAATAAAAGGTGTATGGCATGGTATGTGTATCCAAGATTAGATATACTGTGTATATACACACATACACATAGATATACACACATACGCAAATGTATGCCACTGTTATTCCCCACTGAATAATGTGGGCTACACATCTGCTCCTATGGTTATGCTATGCTTCAGGAAAATGCATTTCCTTCGTTTTCGCCACAGCTAAAGTGAACGAGTGCAGTTGTGCCATTACACCGAGGTAGTTAGGGTTCTTACTGATATCAAGTGGTCTCTAGTCAGTGTTTCTGTTCTCTAGTCAGTGTTTATGTTCTCTAGTCAGTGTTTCTGTTCTCTAGTCAGTGTTTCTGTTCTCTAGTCATTGTTTCTAGTCAGTGTTTCTGTTCTCTAGTCATGGTTTCTAGTCAGTGTTTCTGTTCTCTAGTCATTGTTTCTAGTCAGTGTTTCTGTTCTCTAGTCATTGTTTCTAGTCAGTGTTTCTGTTCTCTAGTCATTGTTTCTAGTCAGTGTTTCTGTTCTCTAGTCATTGTTTCTAGTCAGTGTTTCTAGTCAGTGTTTCTGTTCTCTAGTCAGTGTTTCTGTTCTCTAGTCAGTGTTTCTGTTCTCTAGTCATTGTTTCTAGTCAGTGTTTCTGTTCTCTAGTCATGGTTTCTAGTCAGTGTTTCTGTTCTCTAGTCATTGTTTCTAGTCAGTGTTTCTGTTCTCTAGTCATTGTTTCTAGTCAGTGTTTCTAGTCAGTGTTTCTGTTCTCTAGTCAGTGTTTCTGTTCTCTAGTCAGTGTTTCTGTTCTCTAGTCAGTGTTTCTAGTCAGTGTTTCTGTTCTCTAGTCAGTGTTTCTAGTCAGTGTTTCTGTTCTCTAGTCAGTGTTTCTAGTCAGTGTTTCTGTTCTCTAGTCAGTTTTTTACATGTTAACATTTCCAGGTTTCTTGCAATACCAGATAGCCTCTGTCAATGCTTCAGTCTCACACACCCACTACTCCCATAAGACAAAAACACCGAGCACACCCACACCATACTACACAAACTCATATTTTATTATTCAGTTTGGTCCGCTTTGGTATTTTGTCATTGTCTTATTTTTTTTCCATCTGTATATGTGACCTTATATTTGTGAGATCCAGTGTTGACACTTGAATGAATGGAGCAGTGTGTGCCTTGATTTAATGAGTCATTGCTATGAGAAGCTGTTTAGATCTTATAATAATAATAATAATAATAATAGATTTATTTTGTTAGCGCTTTTACAGGTGCTCAAAGACGCTTTACAGATATAGTGAAAAGAAAAGAAAGGAACAACAAATAAATATATATAGTTAAAGTTAAAGTAAATAATACAAAAACAATCACACAGATTGAAGAGGTGAGTTTTTGTGAGTTTTTTTAAGGTGTGTGAGGTCGGTGCAGTCTCTGATGGGTTGGGGGAGTGAGTTCCAGAGGGAGGGGGCAGCGACGGAGAAGGCTCTGTCCCCCCAGGTCCGGTGCTTGATGTGGGTGGGGATGGATAGGAGGTTGGCTTCTGATGAGCGGAGGCAGCGGGAAGGGTTGTGGTGGTGCAGCAGGTCTGTGATGTAGGGGGGGGGCCTGATTGTTGAGGGCTTTGTGAGTAATGAGGAGGACTTTGAAGTTGATTCTTTGACGGACGGGGAGCCAGTGGAGGTTCTGGAGGACGGGAGTGATGTGGTCTCGGGAGCGGGTGAGGAGGCGGGCAGCAGAGTTCTGGATATGTTGGAGTTTATTGAGGAGGTTGGATGGTATGCCGTAGAGCAGTGGTTCCCAAACGGTGTGCCGCGGCACACTGGTGTGCCGTGAGGCAAGTCCGGGTGTGTCGTGGGATTTTGCAATATACAACTACACAAAAATAATTATTTTTAAATTGACTATATCAGTACTTTGTAGGTTTATATGTACGTAATCTGCGCGATTTGCGCGTCCACATCTCAACGTGCAGTGCTGCATTTCATGCTGAGTCGGCGATAACTTTCGAGGGGTGGAGGTATGCCCATTATTTTGAGTTCGTCCGAAGAATAGACAGGAATGTGACGGTGAGGTGCAAACTGTGTCCAGGCCAGAAGCTGTTATCCACTGCTGGAAACACCACGTCAAACCTCAACAAACACCTGCAAAGAACACATGCTTTTTTGTTTATATCACGGAGTCTGTTCTTCTTCTCTGTCTTCCGGTTGTTGCCTGTTTTTAATGACAAATACACACTACCGCCGCCTGCTGGTAAGGAAAGTTATTGCCACTCACGCATGCGCAGTTTGTACGTGCTCGGCGAGTAAAGTAACGAGTTACTTTATGTAGATAGTAACGAAGTAGTGTAATATATTACTTTTTTTTAAAAAGTAATATGTAATATATAACGACCCCATCTCTGGAGTTGGCGTTCTCTACTCTGGTTTACATGAAGAACAGGAGGTCACGGCTCTCTGTTGAACAGGACAAGCGAGTGGCCCTCTCCTCAGTGCCACCAAGGATTAAAATATTCTGCGCGCCCCGACAGGCACATGTATCTCACTAATTTGTAAGTCGGCAAAAATATTTACAATAGCACATGTTTCAATGCTGATTGCTGAAATGTTACATTTATAATTTGTAGTTCAGGACCATGGACAATGCAGCTTCCTTGCATTGACAGTTCTCTGTGCTGAATTTCTGCTGAGTTTCCTTTGCCTCATTTTTAATTGTGTGACCTGTCTGGTTTAAATAAGTGTGTTGCTGCTTTGATGAAGCCTAATTTGGTAAAGTTTCAAATACATTTCTGAAATATTTCGTTAATAAATATTTCATGAGTAATATAGTTGTCTTTGTCACATTTTATTTGGCATTAGTAAATAATTATGCACATTTACAGATATTTTACATGATATGAGTGATAACACGTGTTATAAGGGCTATTTTGCACAATAGGTGTGCCTTGAGATTTTTACTTGTCCTTTGGTGTGCCTTGGGCACAAAAAGTTTGGGAACCACTGCCGTAGAGGATGCTATTGCAGTAGTTGAGTCGTGATGTGATGAATGCATGAATCAGGGTTTCAGCAGCAGAGGAGGAGAGTGATGGGTGGAGACGGGCAATGTTTTTGAGGTGGAAAAAGGCGGTCCTGGTGATGTGATTGATGTGGTGGTTGAATTTGAGCTGACTGTCGAAGATGACTCCGAGGTTGTGGATGTGAGGGGGGGAGATAGAGTGTGGCTGTCAATGGTGAAGTTGAAATTCTGGATGGCTTTGGCTTTTGCATCAATGCTTTTATTTCTGAGAGAAAGTTGGTGAGAGTGGAGTGTGTGTGGGGGTGATGGTTTTTGTTGAGATATAAAGTTGGATGTAATCGGCGTAGCAGTGAAATTGAAGGTTGTGGCAACAAATTATTTTGCCAAAGGGGAGCATGTAGAGGATGAAGAGGAGGGGGCCAAGCACCGAACCCTGGGGGACGCCTTGGGACAGAGGAGCAGTGGAGGAGGTGCAGTTGTTGATGTTGATAAACTGATGTCTGTCGGTGAGGTAGGATTTCAGCCAGGAGAGTGCAGTGTCGGTGATGTTGAGTGATGATTCGAGGAGGGACAGCAGGATGGCGTGGTTGATGGTGTTGAATGCTGTGGTGAGGTCGAGGAGGATGAGGATGTTCAGGTTGCCGGAGTCAGAGGAGAGGAGGAGGTCGCTTGTGATTTTCAGAAGAGCTGTTTCTGTGCTGTGTTTTGATCGGAAACCGGATTGAAATGGCTCAAAGAGGTCATTGGAGCTGAGGTGGGATTTAAGTTGTGATCTTGCAGTACAAAAGTCTGCAGATAGAGAAATGCTCTGCCAGCCAACAGTTAATGT